CTACTGCTATTGCTACTGCTACTACCGCCACCACCTCCGCTACCACCGATGCTGATACTGCTCGTGCTACTAGTACCATAGCCGTCCGCTGTTTTGCTGCCGCAGAAAGATGGGTGCCTTCAAAGCCTTAAAAGTTGCAACGGGGTTTTGGGGGTATGTTTTACGATAATGACAACCCGGAGCCCTAAGGAACAACATAACACACAATTCAACCCTAAACCCTAAATCATAAATCCTGAACTCTAAACCGTCAACCCTACACCCTGAACCCTACATCCTGCAGGTCCTACACCCTATAAACTCTAAACTCTCAAGCCCTAAACCCCTAAACCCCTACTAATACAGCGTTTAGGGTTTAAGGTTTAGGGCTTTAGGGTTTAGGGTTTGGGGTTTAGGGTTAAGGGTTTAGGGTTTAGGGTAGTAGGATTGCACCACCGCCTTTCTGCGAAGCTGGCTGAGGGCCGGTCGGAAATCTCCGTCCGAGTCGTAGGCACGGAGCTGAACGGCGCCAAACCTCAGGTTTAGACGGTTGAAGTTTTGGGGTTTTGGAGCGACGGATTTGGGTTTAATGTTTTTTGGGGTTTTGGGGTTTAGGGTTCTTTTGGGGTTTAAGATGTAGGGCTTAGGGTGTATTTTTTTTTGGGGGGGGGTGGTTTTAGGGTTTAGGGTCTTGTTAGCGGCTCTTGTCCGACTGTGTACAGCTAGAACTCCTTACCAGGAGGAGCCTGCTGTTGGGACCTCAGTTTTGGCAAAGAGCCTCAACCTGGAAGCCTTTGGGGTTTAGGGGTAGAGGGTTTAGGGTTTAGGGTTTAGGGTTTAGGGTTTCAGTCTTCAATTACTAGAATAGGTTTTTTGTGTATAATAACAGCATAAACATAGATGTAACGAGCAACCCCACGGCATAGCATGATATTATGGTGCATTTCATTGCCTAGGCCCGAGATTATGAGTTCTACATCCTCGTTGCGGCTGTACTAGATTAACTAGATTCCCGAGATTATGAGTTCTACATCCTCGTTGCGGCTCTACTAGATTCTAGATTCCCAGATTGAACTTGACAAGCCATTCTGGCTCCGCCCTCTGCACCGGCCAGGAATGAAGTTGAAATGAAGTTGTGACAGCCCTGCTTGGAGGTTCATGGGTAGTTATACGTGGGGTTATACGTCCCCTAATATGGGTT